AAAAAAAAAAAATTCTGAGGAGAACAGCAAAATCCAAAAACTTTATTAATCCAATGGCTTTTCGATCTCTCCTAGAGACCACTCTTTCTCTCTCATCGCCTCTCCACACTCCCAAACGGTCTCTCTCACTCCCCATTTTTTCAATAATCATCGTTCTAAAAAAAAATAAAAAAATCCCAGATATTTATATGGTCTTTTGTTTTTGATTTTTCGATCAAGAACCAGAAAATCCGACAAAAACAAGACATGGGTTTGCGCCTCCTTGTCCGGTTCGAACCGGTTCTGTGGCCGCAAGCTTATCCGCCATCGCTGTATGCTTCATCTTCTTGCAGCTCGAGCAAAGGGAAATGCGATTTTAACAGAAGGGTCTCCCGGAGATCAAAAGCGCTTCAGAAAAATGTGCGCTTTATAGTTTCTTCAAGCGAAGTGAGTGCGCCTTTTTGGGAGAGTTGGGTACCTGAAAAGAGCTCTAAAGGTCCTTCCTTTAGCGATATTGTCTGGCCTTCTGCTGGTTAGTACTCGTTTTGCCCACCAAGAAATCAATTTTTTGATATTTGCATATGTTCTTTTTTTTGTCCTAATGATTTGTTTCTGAAAATTTTTGTTAGCTTTGTATTGTTTGTTTCTATTGTTTACTATTGTTCTTTGTGTATTTTTTGTGCTTTGCTTTGCTCATATGATTGTACATTGTATTGTTCTTCAATTTCGTGGCATGTGATTGTGAATCAGCTGAACTGATAGAAACAGGATTTTGCTTAGATGTGTAAAATTACTGTTTTTTTTGTTTATTTTACAAAGATTTTGTGTGTTTATAATATTTTCTGTCATACTTTACAGCTGTGATGGGTGAGAATAATGGCACTTCAATAAAGGTTATGTCTGTTGTGATCAACATAAACCGAAAGGAACATTAGCTTGCAAGGATTGAACTTGCAGTCGTTTGCCATCGAGTAGTGTTGAATTGAGTTGTGTGACGATTTTGGGGGTTTGGTAGTGATTTTGCAAGTTTACATGTTATTTATGCAAATGAAAAATGTGTCAGGGGCTTTTGCTGCAATGGCTATATTGGGAAAGATTGATCAAATTTTGGCTCCTAAAGGCATTTCGATGACTATTGCACCATTGGGGGCCGTTTGTGCCGTGCTCTTCACTGCGCCATCATCTCCTGGTGCTAGGGTAAGCTTTTTTCGGTTGCTGTTCTTTTTTTATGGATAATTATGAAAGCAATCCCTGAGGTTTAGTCTAATAACAATCGAGCCCATCTCTGTTCCTTCATACATTTAAATGCTGATAGCAAAATCGACCTCATGTAGTTGCTTTTTAGTTTTTGCAGTACATCATTTTGATGTTATGCATAATCGTCCAAGCGAGAGATTGTATATGCCACTTATTAAAGTCAAAATATTGGAAAAAAAATTGATTGCTTTTTCAATACAAGAGTATTTATATATGTAATCTGGGTTCATTTATTGAACGTAAATTAGTGTAGCTATTGTATTTTGTAGCATAAGTAATAAACTCGATACAACACTTGATTCCTTGCTAAATTATGAGAAATAAGGGTGAAAAAAAAAGCATGTCCCCGACATTCTAAAGTTTGCATGGTGTACAGTACAACATTATTATTCTACCATGCTCGACACGTGTTGTACGTTAAATTTTTCATGTATCGTTTGCTGCTAAAACTCCATTAATTGAATCGCCTTATTTCATTAACCATCTTAAAGAGTTCATGTTAGCTGTATAAGTTTTATTGCTCGAGTTTTTTTTTGGTAACAAATGAAGAGTCTTGAGCAGGTTTTTAATCCTGGAGATGCTAAACATTTTCCGATTCTTTAGTACTTTTTATTGTCTGAAGAAAAAAGTAAATGCAAGCACGTTTTATGAATAAGCATCATATTCAAGGCCCAAATGCAATTTCTTGGATTATAATCTAGTTTCTTGAAACTAACAATCAAGCTATTTAATTACATTTTTTTTTTTCATGTGGTGTTTACAGAAGTACAACATGTTTATGGCACAAATCGGGTGCGCAGCAATAGGCGTTTTGGCATTCTCCATACTGGGTCCCGGCTGGCTAGCTAGGAGTTTTGCTCTTTCTGCAGCCATAGCCTTTATGATTTTTGCCCGTGCTGTTCATCCACCCGGTAAAACTATTCGAAACATGCATGTCCTTTTTTTTTTTTTTTTTCATAAAGAAACAATTCTGATTGTTTAAAATGACTTGCAGCTGCAAGCTTGCCATTGCTATTTATTGATGGAGCTAAGCTTCAGCATTTGAACTTTTGGTATGCTTTGTTCCCGGGCACGGCTGCATGCATTCTCCTTTGTTTGATTGTAAGTCATCTCGAATTCTCAAATCTTTTGAAGTAGAAACCTCAAAAACCTTTTAAGGAATGCGTCTTTGTTTTCGCGCTCTTTCCATTTTCAAATTAATGCAATTTAGTAGTGAGATTTGCTCAAAATATGTTGTATTCAGATTTGTTCAATGAATTACACCTACTTTCTTACAAATTGTTTATGAAATTTTGCAGCAAGAGATTGTATGTTATCTGAAGGACAACTTGAAGTTTTGAATGCTTATCGATGGCACGCAAAAGGAGTATCGTTTTGTACGAAGCAAATGACAATTCTACCCTCCATAGTTCAACACTAGTTGTCAAATGTTGTATAAATCTTTTGTGTAACACTTAGGATATTTTTTTTTCTCCATCAAGAACTATGATGAAGGTTAAAATTGTTTCCTGATAAAAAAAAAAAAAAAAAAATGTCTGCAGATGGATTCATTAATGGTTATCAAATTTTGAATTCACTAATGTGTAATGGGAAATTTGAACTGTTTATATTGTAACCTCTCATGTGAAATCTTACACTTGAACTGTTTATTTAATTTTTTTTTAATCTCGAATACGTTGTATTCAAACGATGTTTTTTTTATTTTTCATTTATTTTTTTTTTTTATCTTAGTTCCTACTCAATAGAGCCGTTAAGATGGTCTTAAGCCCGTGGATTGGCTCGTCACGCACCTCCAATAGAGCTATTTGGACCGCAATTTCTTAGGCTCACTAGAGAACGGGCCTAAAAAGGTTAGCCTCCATGGGCCGAGGGCTAGGACTGGACGGCTTGCCTGCGAGCTAGCCTGTCAATTATTAAAAAAAAAATCTTCCTTACACATATATGAAAAATGAGAGGGATTTATAAGGCGACACTTCACAGTATGAAGTTAAAATAATGAGAACGGGCCTAAAAAGGTTAGCCTGCGCAAGCTGAGGTCTAGGACCGGACTGGCTAGCCTGTGGGGCCCGTCAATTATTAAAAAAAAACATACATGAAATATGAGAGGCATTTACAAGGCGACACATAATAGTATGAAGTTAAAAAAATACTTTTTTATTTGTTTATTCGTTGTTGATAACTTGATGTATTTTAGTTCCTAAGCATACATTCAATATTTTTTTAAATATTTGTACTGATGGGTTTCTTCTCAGATCTGGAGTGAACTGACGGAAATTCGCTCAGATCCGGAATGAATCGATGAGAATGAGCTCAGATCTATCTTGATGGCTTACAAACCGCTGTTGAACCGCGAGAACACCTGCAAGAACTCAACGTCGGAGGGGTTTCCGGCATAGAGCCTCTGATGCTTAAGTCAGTATGTGAAAGAGATGAAGAGAGCTGCTCTGAGAGAGCAGCAGCAGTAATGGAGAAAAATGTAGAATTAATGGGAGTTAGGGTTTTGGGGTTACCTCAACTCCTTTATATAGAAGTAAAACCTTTACCTGGAATCCCCAAATTGCCCTGGCCGACTTACTGGAAATGTCCAGAATATCCCGGTCGGTTCGCATTCCGCCCATATCCTAGTCAGCATTTAGATTCCTTCTTATCCTTTAATAGCTTCCCTCTGATATGTTGAAGTGTATAGGAGTCGTCAGGGATCCATGAGCCCCAGACTACTTTAGTCGACTCGGGATATCCACTCGAGCCGACTAGGTCATTCCCCAATCGCTGGTAGACCCTAATGTGCTTATTCATCCTTCCGGACGGAATCGACTTAGGCTAGTCGACATGGTAGAAGTCGACTAAGAAAAGCATCCGTACCCTTGACAGAATATATTATCACGAGGAGATATGTGGATGGAGTCGACTTCGGGTAAGTCGACTCGGCAATGTTCGAACCGGGACAACATAGGCCGCTATACGATAGTATGGCTATATCATGTACAAAAAAAAAAATATTTTTTAAATACAATTATTTCGGCGCTGATGCCTGATGGTACATAGTAAAAACTAGTAATTTCTTTTTATCGGTTAGGTCATTTTAACTCAAATTTAACTCAAATTCATTATTCTCGATATTGTCAATATAATTCAATAATGCCTATCAATCATCCCTACATATTACAACTTTAATGCACTATTCATATATTTTTTTTAATTACATGTCAATTTCAATTAACTATTTAATATTTTATAGTACATAAACTAAATTATTGCAATTCAAATATTATTTAATTACAAATTCAAAGTTTCAATCAATCTAACTTTATTAAAAATTACTTTAATTTATTAATTAAAATAAATTACTTTTTTTTTTTTTTTT